CAATTGGTGCAAAATAGAGCTGCCAGGTTGCTGACGGGGACGGGGCAGCTCTATTTTGCACCAATTGAAGTGTTCGGACTGTCTTCAGGGGAAGCCCCACGTAAAGCGCGTTACAGAAGTCTAGGCGGGAAGTCACCAGCGCGTGTGTCACCGTCGCCAGGCAGTCGAACTCCAGGTAGGGGCGCAGCTGATTAATCAGCCAAAGCTGAAGGAAGGCGTTCCTTGCTACCGCTGTCACCTGAGCTTCCAAAGAGATTGAGTTAGAAGGGATCTCCCAGGCCATCTAGTCTGAGCCCTATCTCCATCCAGCTCCACTCATGACTTGCCTACCATGTGCATGTCCAGCCTATCCTTGAACACTCTCATGACTGGGATTTCAACCGCCTCCCATGGAAGCCCATTCCATGCCCCAGGGGTCCTAACAGTCAGAAAGTACTTCCTGGCATCCAAATTGAATCTTGGTTCCCTGAGCTTTGCTACATTGGAACATGTCCTGCTCTCCACTGCAGGGGTATCACAACAAACCTCTGTGTGTCTGTGTGACACCACCTCACATACCTGTATGTTGCTAACAGGTCCCTTCTGAGTCTCCTCTTCTCAAGGATGAAAAGATCCAATTCCCTCAGTCTCGCCTCCTACGACTTTCCCTGCAAACTAGTCACCATCCTTGTGGCCCTACGCTGCAATGACTCTAACCTGGCTGTATCCTTCCTGTAATGTGGAGCCCAGGACCGAACACAATACTTCAGTTGTGGATGAACTTTAGTCATATACAGTGGGAGTAATATTTCTCTCGAACTAGAAGCCATTCTTCTGCCTATGCAACCAAGGGTGGCATTTGCCCTCTTGACAGCAGCATCACACTACTGACTCATGTTTAGACTGCAGTCAACCAGTACCCTGAGATCCCTTTCACAAGTGCTGCTTGTCAGGCACATGTCCCCACTTATGACACCCATTCCTATGCCCGAAGTGCAAGACCTTGCACTTATCCACGTCGAATGCCATCCTGTTGTTTCCCATCCACTTCCATAGTCTGTCCAGATCTTTCTGGATCTGGAGTACCTGCTCCTCAGTTGTGGCCATCGCCCCCATTTTAGTATCATCTGCAGATTTGATCAGCAGACGGCTCATGTCCTCTTCCAGGTAATTGATGACAAGAATGAACAGGAACAGACCCAGGACAGAACCCTGGGGGACCTCACTCATCACCAACTGCCATCCTGATGATTCCTCACTAATGGTTACCTTCTGCTTTTGGTATGTCAACCATTCCTTAATCCATCAGACAGTGCATCAGTCTATCCCAAATCTCCTCAATTTTTCAACCAGGATATCATGTGGCACTTTGTCAAAGGCACTTTGCTGAAATCCAGATAAACCACATCCATTGCATCCCCTCCATCTAGCCACCTCGAAAACTTGTCACAGAATTCCACAAGGTGCTTCTTGCTGAGTCCCTATGAAGTATTTTTATGCTTTAAAATGCAGTATTGTCAGTTTAAACCTGCAGCATTAGCAGGCAAGTGAATGCAATTCTGAGTCTATGGATTTGGAAGTCTTTTGGCAAAACTTGCTCAGTGGGTTCCTTTTCTCATCGCCATTGCCCTGTTTCTCCTACTCCACCTCTTTATTATGATTTCTACCACTTGCTTGCTTAGCTGGCAGAGAGCGAAAAGACAAGAAGGATCTGCTTATCACCTCTTTTGTCCGGGCTAGCATGCACAAGGAAGGGTCCAAGTAGTTCATGAGAGGAGATGCTGATGCTGGACCTTACCTGTGATCTCTGCCCCCTTTCCCTGCTTCCGACTCACTCTGCTGACCATTTTTCTTTCAGTAGGAATCCATGGCTTGAAATAGTTGTTGGGTGGGAACTGGCTTTAGAAAGAATGTGGAATTCAGTAAGGGATAGGTTCAGCTTTGCTGAGACTCAATTATTTCCTCACACCAGCCTGATTTATATGGATTCAGTATGACTAGACTGGATTCTGCACTGTCATAGTGTGTAGTGCCTTCACACAAAGAAAACTTACAAGTATGTACACTAAACACGGCAGAACTTTTTTCCAAGTGAAACATTGTAACAAATTGCTATTCTGCAGTATACTCAGAATAATGGTTAATTTCATGCTTATAACCTAATCATTTTGTACCTATTTACCTGGGAGTAAGTTCCACTGAGATAAATAAAATTTATTTTCAAACTTGTAAATTTAGGATCATGGGGTTAGTCTCTAAAGAGTTCTAAGTTGAAGAATAACACATTTCCTAGCCCTTCAGGTCTTATTTCTTTACTCACATATGTGAAAATGATTTATTTATAACAGCTGGTAGTAGCATCTTGTAGCTCATTGCCTGGAACAAGACAAAGACAGAAGAAAAATTTTGGGGAAAAAATCAGAGTAGCATGAAATGGGTAGGTCTAATTTAAATTCACAGCCTCCTATGAATAATACATTAGCACTCTTTTTGCCATCTTCTCCTCATAATAGATACAATTATTGATGCTGTTGTGTAGTACTGACAGGTATATCTAGTTTCCTGACTGTCAAAAGTTTTGTCCTTTTTTTGAAGCAAGGGTTAGTTACTGGAATTTGCCATTGTTTAACTTTTCATACTCCTTTTGTCTCTGGTGTTAAGGACTTTGATATAACTCTAACTGGTCCATAATGGAGTCAGACTCAGAGAAGAGAGTCAAATAAGAATAAGAATGATTCCAGCTCTTTATTCTGAATACTTGAGGATAAACCTACAAATAGGCATTCAGTCTGTTTTTAGTCTATGCTATTTTCAGCTATATGTCCATGCATTCCATCTCCTCATTCACCTACTTAAAAAAAACAATATTCAAATACAGTTTTGTATCTATATTACAAGAACACATTCTCTCAAAATAAACATTATAAAACAGGGGCAGATGTCAGTTTGCAGTCTCAAAGTAATCATTTACTGGAATGAGATCCACCAACCAGGGTCCAGTGCAAATAATGGCTCAAGAGATAAGACATAGAAGTTCCTTCATGCAAAAATCCACTTCTGGTGTTTTCCCCCAAGAATAATTTTCCAGAAACATCATTTAGTGGGGCATACTCTTTATTGCTGCTGGTAATTTTACACAATTGACCTTGCTGATCTCAGATGAGCCAGTAGATCCCAAACTATCTTCTATTCACTCCCTGTTTTAAAATTGACTTTTATATATTTGTTTGAGTTTGGGAAATTTTGGAAATCACTAAATCTGATCACTTGCTAATTTCTGAATGCCACATTACTCTAGGAAGTACAGATTGTCAGTTTCTATCAGAATTCAACAGATTGAATTGCACAAGCAGGTAGCTCGTTAAGAAAAACGAAGATAGTATTTGATGCAGCCTAAGCTTTATTTCACTTGAATTCATAGTGATCAAATTATCCAGTATCCCTAAGTGTTGTTGTTGTTGCTAGTCACAAAGTCGTGCCCGACCTATCACGACCCCATGGACAACATTCCTCCAGGCTGTCCTGTCCTTCACCATCCCTCAGAGTCCATCCACACCCACTGCCACAGTGACTCCATCTAGATCCCTAAGTGTATCTCCTTTATTAAAGAAGCACAGCTGTCTTAAGCAAATGTCTTGATATTACAATGGATTGCAATTGCTACTGGGAGAGCAGAAAGGCTTAATTTTTGTACCAACTTAATGTGAACAGCTGACTCTGCTTATATACTCTACAGCTGCACCAATTTAGTGCGCTTAGTGCATAGATTTTGATATGCAGTTAGTTTTTTTCCCTCCTATTGCTGCAGATTATTACCTGACAGTCAGCACTCCATCTTTGCTAACATGAGGTTTTCATCTGAAACATTTCATGTTATTGTGTTCTAATGCTGAAAAGCTCAAATAGTCTTCTTCAAACAATGCATAACAATGCAGATTGATGATGTACATTGTATATTGTAAAGTAATGTATATTATGAAGACTTCAGACAAATGCTTCTTTCATCTGACTTCTTCTCATTGCTGTATTGTAAAGCCGTTACACAAAAATTCATCATTCCTGCCACTAAATG